TTCAATCGTGATATATCTACTAACACGATTAGTTAAATATGTAATCTCCATTGAATGAGAGATTTGTATATTTACAAGATGCTAATACATGTACCTGTGTAGAAACACGAGCACGTGAGACATTGTTAGACACGTATCTCGTTCTGTTTGATGGGTGCACCGTAGTATGTAAACGAAGACGTGTCATTCGCTAACAAAGTTACACAAATATTGTCAACAAAATTTGTATCCTGATAATTAAACGATTATCCTATTCGTCATCTGGAAGCGTTTATTTCAAAAGTGAACCACACATCGAGAAATGTAACTTCCCTACATACCAAAAGGCAGATTGAAAGAGAAGTCCTCGCAGGGATGATAGAAGCGTAGTTCCTCTTAAAAACCCCTGTTAAAGTTTTTCTAGAAGTGCTCCAGAATTTGAGAAATTAATTTTTTTGACCTAGCACATTTCTAAATAGAACACCTAACTTTGACATCGCATTAAAGAAGTTACAGAGAGGTTAGAAGAAAATCCCCTATAGGGGCGATAGAAGGGATGTTCCTCTTTAACACCCTGCTCGCGGTTTTTCTGGAAGTGCCCTAAAATTCGAGAACTTAATGATTAAGGGTATTTTGGTCATTCTTTTAAATGTGAACGTTGTGATTTTGGTCATCTGTTTTGCTCATGCGGGAGCTGTGGTTATGAAGCCGATTTTGTGTAATTGTTGCAGTTATTCACATTAAAGCCGGATCCGGCTTTATAGTTCCGTAGCCGTAAGAACGGAACCGTAAAATCTGACGTTAACGAAAATTATGCGATTTATAGTTACCGTAGTGGTAAGAGATGAGCTTGCGTATTTATCTGCCATTGTATGTCATCTGTCAGTAAGAGTAACGTGCATTTCAAAATAATAATAACCAACAAAGTGTCAATAATTACTGTAAATAAACGAAACGAACGTCCGGATAAACTCAACTGTTTGAATTATCCGAGTACTATCGAAGACAGGCGCGTTAGCGCGATTTACCGTAAGGAATAGATTTGGGCATTTCCTACGTACCGTAACCGTTCTAACGCAACGTAAACGGGAACTATAAATGTTCACGCCAGAGACATCTCCATGTCTCTGGTTCACGCGCAACAAGTAATTCCAAACGTTACGGTACGGTGTTGCGGGTACGGAACTATAAATTCAGCTTAAATCACATGACAGCCGACAGGTTTGGTAATTTATTTTCGGCGAAGTCTTCAGATTAAATAGTATATTAAACCACGATTACTAATTTATTCATTTCATAATTTTTCGTTTTGGTTATAAGTTTTTGTGGTCCTGTGTATTGTACCTGTTAACGGTAATTTCTATTTGTCAGCCACTTCCAACCAAATTCAAGTCCACGGCTTAGTAGCCACTGTTATGGAGGTGGTTAGAAGGCCTATTGGTGTAATATATTTATGAGGCATTTACAAAAATTGGAGCTTTAGATCCCGGTATATATACCGTAGCGTTCGAAAATGTGATAGGTAATTATTTTACAGTGTTCTTTTATTACCATATGTACCGATCACATTAACGAAATGGATCACTAATTGGAGTGTATTCATCTGGTTGGTCCACGCGCGGCGCCACTAAAAAAAGGTGCAAGAGTTGTAACCTCACTTTGCAATCTTTTTGGCTTTCCTTCAATAATTATCAAGAGGACTTCCGTTGTGTACATTTTTTGTTATATTCGAAACCTTAGATCTTACGAAACACTTTCATGGTAGTAAAAGTATATGCTAATGTAGCCTTGTAGGTATATGCTGTTTATCTCAGAGTAAGAAATAAAGATAGCGATGCCTTGATGCTTATCAAAACGCGCCATAATCTCGTCGTGTTTGTAAATATTGCAGGAAGCGAACTTGTCACATTTCGCGAAACCATTTTTTAATTAATATTAATAATAGATATATAGAAAGGATCTAAATGGATTTTTAAATATTTATAAAGGTGGTGAAAAACAAACTATTATAAGTTGAAATTAAACGGCCTAATAAGAAAATTTAAGATAATTAGTGTGTCACGACGGCAACGCTGTAGCGATTTGACAGATGAAACTATATCTGTTTATTTCTAAAAATCGTAATTTTCGGCATTTTTAGTTCATTTTATAGATTGAAACTTATTCCATTGTGTTTAATAATTTATCAGCACCCTTTGACATGGGGAAGGGTGTTCTGTTTGTGGAACTATCTTTGTTTCCTACTCTATATGTTTATAAATTTATGCGCTACATTTACACATGACAAAAGCATTGTTCTATAAACAGGCATGCACCAAAGTTACCGCATCTCATCAGTCATCATCAAATGTTTACCGACATTTTCCATCGTGGATCTACCGCTCCAGTTTTCGTAAATGCCCAATAGGTATTATGCTGTCGGTGCCCATATTACAGTGACTCTATAAAGACAGTGTGGCCATATGCTCATTTCCGCCATTTTTCCCAAATTTATTATTGAGCTTATGGGAGAATCGCACATTTTGAGTGTAGGAATGTTGCGATTTACGCAAATCCTTCTTTTGAGAATTTTTTTTCGGGAGGTTTTTAGGGGTATTAGCAGATCAAATTACCGAATGGCTTGGGTTGTTCAATAAATAGGATTTGACATGTGTGTTCATGGTCTTTGTCTTGTAACCGGCTGAAGTGTAAAGTACGGCTTGTCTTGAAATATTTTGTTATACCTTAACTGTGTCCTTTTGCTTTTTTGTATCAGGTGAGGTATTTGCTTTATTCAATTAATCTATAAATGTGCATAACTTGAATGTAGATTGTAACTCTTTACTTATGTACTTACTGGATTCAATCACTTGTACCTCTTAATGTGTAACCTTTGTTGGTATTGGCAGTCATGTTTCATTGTCGGTAGGGCTGTATCTGTGCTGTACATACTTGCATGTGTACATATTTGCGTATTGTGCTTTTTAGTCACTCTCGATTATTTCATTGCATTTCATTATATTTGCTTATTTGGGACTGGAGTAATCAAGAGGGAAGTGTGCTTGTTTAGAGGGGATCGAGTTATTCAAGTTTATACGGGCCTTGGTGAACCTAACACTAACATTTTCACTCGTTCCGAACCCAACAACTTTAGCCCATGTCTACAGGGCCTGGGTAATCCTCCCGGCCGTCGAGGTATATTTAACACTTCTTAGTTTTGCCTGATGATGTGTTGTAATACCTGGAGAATGTCTCGATTCCATTTTGGTTACTCATAGCGTGTTTGTATAGTATTTACCCCGGTTTCGAGGGGGCTCAAAAGTGCTGTACATTAGATGTTTATTATAGGACTACTCCGAATTAGGTTTTCCTGCAGTTTTCCAATTCGTAAGGTAAATGCCGGAGTAGTATAGAACCACCTAATACCCTCTGCAGGGGCGCCGCTAAAAACAATTATGCGGGTCACTCTGTAATCGTATTGGTATTAGATTCAATATAAACTTAATCAGCTATTTATTTTTACTTTTGGTGTTCCTTATCCATAAAACACCCTCAGTGCCTGCTGAGAACCCAGTTATTACACAACGTAGGTGTCCTACATGACGATCACGATCTTAGTGCACTCGGAGTGGCCCCCGAGTGACAGATTCTCGCGGGAAACTTAAGCGAGAATATTCAAATAGGCAGCCATGTTAGTTTGGCATTCCCTCACTACAGAATATGGTCAAATATTCCGGTGTGTTTTGAAGTTGGCGTTAGCCCGCCAAGATCGGGTTCATAACCACAGCTCCCGCATGCGCAATAAAAATTACAGAAAGCACAAAGTTCACATTTAAAAGAATTTTTGTATACGTTCATTGTAAACGCACACGTACATACAGATAGATATAAGGTTTTAAGTAGGTAATAGATCCACTGTCAATAACCACCTCCATAACAGTAACTACTACGCCGTGCACGTGCACTTACATGCAATGCAAATAGCAGTTGTCTACCGTTATAGGTACAATATACAGGATCACAATAACATAACCAAAAAGAGAGATTCTTATGGAATGAAAAAAGCAGTGATCGTGGTTTCCTATATTATAGTCTGGGACTTCACCGAAAATTAAACGAACATTTTCAAGTGAATGACATCAATCATCACGCAAAATCGGCTTCATAACCACAACTCACGCATGCACAGCAAAAATTACCTAAATCACAACGTTCACATTTAAAAGAATGAACAAACACACTCATAAGTTCTCGAATGATAGGGCACTTCCAGAAAAACTGCGAGCAGGGTGTTAAAGGAGGAACATCCCTTCTATCACCCCTACAGGGGGTTTTCTTCCAACCTCTCTGTAACTTCTTTAATGCGATGTCAAAATTAGGTGTTCTATTTACAAGTACGTGCAAGGTCAAATTTAAAAATTAATTTCTCAAATTCTGGGGCACTTCTAGAAAAACTGTAACATGGGTTTTAAAGGGGAACATCCCTTCTATCACCCCTATAGGGGGTTTTCTTCCAACCTCTCTGTAACTTCTTTAATGCGATGTCAAAGTTAGGTGTTCTATTTAGAAGTATGTGCGTGGTCAACTTTAAAAATTTATTTCTCAAATTCTGGAGCATTTCTAGAAAAACTTTAACAGGGGTTTTTAACCCTGCAGTGGTGACGTGAAATTTTGGAACACCAGTGGTGACCTCGGTCTGAGAGACCGAATTTGATTTTGGCTTGATTTCGTATAGTTACTACGCATGTAACTTGGCTTAAAATAAAGGAAAAAGTACAGTCAATAAATAAAGGCATATAAATCGAAAAATAAATTTTATTCTTGTAACATAACCAGTAGCGGTCCCAGGATTTGGTAAAGGGAGGGGCTCAAACCCGAACTTTGCCCCAACATGGAAAAAAATGAAAGAAATCTAATGAAAAAAATGAATGAGGGGGCCCGTGGCCCCCCCCTGGGACCGCCACTGACAGTAGCGGTCCCAGGATTTGGTAAAGGGAGGGGCCCAAACCCGAACTTTGTCCCAACACGGAAAAGAATAAATCTGATGAAAAAAATGAACAATAGGGGGGGGGGGCCGGGCCCCCTGGGACCGCCACTGAACATAACTAAATTGAATTATACACAATACTAAGCTTATGGGGGGATGCGCGTTGCAATGCTGCGCTGACTAGAATTTTCGTAGCATCAATGCACCGGAAAGCGGCCAATTACTCACGGCACTAAATTGTCAAAGAACGGCTTGCTTCATCAAGTTGTTCGTCTGGTCTCAGACACGCAAAATATTAAGCTAGCAGAACTAGCAGTGCCATGCGCTGCATCGTTTTTATAAAAATTTGAAAAATACTTTTCGTCGGTCTGAGAGACCGTGCGTCACCACTGAAGGGTTAAGAGGAACTACGCTTCTATCATCCCTGCGAGGACTTCTCTTTCAATCTGCCTTTTGGTATGTAGGGAAGTTACATTTCTCGGTGTGTGGTTCACTTTTGAAATAAACGCTTCCAGATGACGAATAGGATAATCATTTAATTATCAGGATACAAATTTTTTTTGACAATCTTTGTGTAACTTTGTTAGCGACGTCATCGTTTACATACTACGGTGCACCCATCAAACAGAACGAGATACGTGTCTAACAATGTCTCACATGCTCGTGTTTCTACACAGGTACATGTATTAGCATCTTGTAAATATACAAATCTCTCATTCAATGGAGATTACATATTTAACTTATCGTGTTAGTAGATATATCACGATTGAACTCGACACAATTTCCATTACGAAGGAGCATCAACTTGTCGATGTGCTTGTTCCTTACAAGAGTCGTAGAACATGAGCTTCGTTCCATTAACGGTTTATCTCTGGACTCTTTATCCATTATTAATTCCCACGAACCTGTAACTGTTCACTCAATTTGCATTGCAGGTAAGAATAAGTGAAATTTGAGATTACCTATTTTTATAGCGACAGCGTACACCTCCAATTTATTGTTAAGGGGACCCGGCGCCTCTTGCACATCTTTCGATTTCCATCGGCCTTTTTCTTGCTTTATATTAAACAATATTGCGCAGCAGGTGCAAATCCTACATTCATTGTTTACTGTTATCATAAAAGGAATCGTAAAATTGGACTTACCGAATATGTACGTAAAAACTGTAAAGGTCACGTGTGACCGACAGAAAATAACCCAATAAATCCCTTGCCTTCTCAAAATTGATGAACGTATTAATTAATCCATTTACACGTTCGATGTAAGTAACAATCAATAACAGCTGTTTTGTTTTTGCGCAACCGCAAATAAAACATACCTAAGACCTACGGCTACTTTCCTTCTCTAACGTAACTGCGCATTTGCATGCAGAGTAATTTTCATTCATACCATTTCCATTTGATACATTAAATTTGTGTCTCATTCTTATGCGATACATTTTATGCAGACCGAATTTCCATTGTATGTATAAGCACACTTAAAATGCGCTTTATTTTAATGCGGTGTATCGCATAGAAATGATTCACAAAATAATTCGACGTTCATTTGAATTAAAAGATGCACTATTAAATACATTGGAATTCAATGCTACATCTTAAACTTCGATTTAATTTTTATGCCATACCTTACGAATAATTTTATTTCCATTGGTAATATCGCAACGGGTATCTATTTTAATCCAATACGTGAATAACGTTTGTTCTTAAAGTGCATATATACGGATTTGAATGCATGCGATTTAATTTGATATACGCATGAGAATGGTTTACATTTTTTTTGGATGCAAATATACTCGACTCAATTTTATTTAATATCAATTCAATTACACACAGCAGCAAATGTATTTCACTTCTGGTATAGCTGGACAGTTCCAAATAAATGCGTTATGTGTTTAAATCTTTTATAGAAATTGCTATTTATTTTGATGCATGACAATTAAATTGGCAATGTTTAATATTCATCTCTGTCATCTTGTAGTGTTTTAGGATTCAAACGCTAAAATCCATATTAACATTTCCTACATTTGCATACATTTGGCTAACATTTTTTTGACATGTTTAATTTGTTGGTAACAATTCAATTGTTATTTAAATATTTTGGTATACGTTATAAATGTATAATAAATAGTAAAACGCATCTTGTACACACCAGCATTTAAATAGGTTTGTGATGTAGATGATCGCAAAGAAAAAGCATTCAAAATAAACCTATCGCATTTTAAATGCAATTTATAGTATTTACAGGCATTAAAAACTGAAGTGGTGCTACGGGATTCGTCATATAAACGTCGTTATTTTGTGACATGTTACAAAGGAAACTATTTAAATTACTATCGTACTCCAAGAAAATGTGGATTTTAATTTAACAAAACCATTTTATTACAATGGCATATAAACGTAACCAATTAAAATGCTATACTTAAAATGCAGTTAATAAATAGTAAATTGGCGTTCCATAGTGGTCTCACTGTCTGTCGATATAACAGACGGCTCTGGACTTTCATCCTCGAACAGAATCATTGATCTGAGCGGATGGTTTAGTAAATTGAAGCTTGTGAAAGAGAAGTGATCCAAAAGTAATGTCATTAAATACTTGACTGTTAGCAACTGAAATTCCACCAATGAGTAATTTAATTGATGAAAGTTGATCAGCAGAAAAAGTGTCAAATGCTGAGCAATTATTTACCAAATTTGCTTATATGAGAAAGCAACATATCAGTTGAAGTCTCCTTCATTTTTCAACTGTCACAATGTTCATCAACTTTGAATTACAACTGACCGAATCTGAATCAGACAAAATAGTTGATTGAATTTTTCATTTAATTGTGTGTTATTAAAACTTGCGTAGATTTTTTAAGAGCATTTTCTTTTTAGCATTTAATATTTGTAATACTCATCTCTTATCGTATTCAAAACCCAGTAAATCCTATCATTAATTACGTACGACTATTCACAACTGGAAAATTCAGGCCCATGTACTGACGGTGACGCCAGTGAAAATTTACGACCTTCATTATCTCAATACCCGGTTAACTCCATATTTAAAAAGTAATTTAATTCATGACCGAGAAAAGCAAACTAACCTTTTAACTAAATAATGATTTATCATTCGCTCTTTTTCCTTGATATTAACCGGGACATAATTTATGATCCACCCCTATCCGCATACACACGAGCGCCCGAAGGAAATACGAATTTAATTTGTAACGTCTGGGCATTAAAGGAATTGTGGTACGTACACCTATCTTCAAAGAATGGTATAGTAAATAGCCTCGTCTCAATTTAGATGTTATCGAGACGCTAAATCTCAAGAACCGTTTATCTCTGCTTCGTTTGGTAGACTGAAATTAAATTTTGATTTAGTGAGTTAGGAAATTGAATTAAAGTACGAATTGTATCTTTATGGATTTTTAAAGGGCGACGCGAAGGGTCGAGTGTTTATAATCCGATGAGAATAAATTGTGGACTCGTGTAACAAACAAATACACCTTGGGAGTGAGATAGTTAAAACTACAATTTAAATTACGTCTACACTGTTAGAACCGTGTACTTTAATTAAAATTGCAATTAAAAATAATCAAGTTTTGCTCGGTTGCAGAAGAACTGAACTAGTTTTCTTTCCCGCTCGCGGTACCCACCCCTTTCATTAGGGCTTCGCAAGCGTTTTGTCACTGTTAATCCTTTTATACGTTTGCTCGTTCCTTTTTCCCAGATGGACTTTATCGACGCCGAGAAGTTGAATTGGGGAAATTTTATAAAATGGACTATGTTACGTAAGTTAAGTCGATTATTAGATACGTTAATCTCCAAATGGAGTTCGGTTCTCGGTTCGGTTGTAAACCGGACATTGTTGAAAGTTGCTTTCAGTTATGTAATGGGGAAGAGAAATCAACGTTAGAACGCAATTTATCTAGCGACCGAGAGGAAATGGACATCTTTCAACAACCTTAATGCGATTCTAAAGCTTGCATATGAATTTGGGCTATAGTCATAATCAAGGCAAGTCGTAATGGAAATAGACGGACCTTTCCACTTTAGTTATTACTATGAATTGTGACAGGTACATAATAATGTCCTTAAAAATGCTCTGTTTCTGACCTACCGAGGCTAACCCCGAGAGGCTGCCCAACTCAAGATTTAAATTCAAAACTTTCCCTCCGAAACTAACTGAACACCATGGCATATGATCGTCTAGACAACGCTACGTAATCTAACTGCATTGCAAGATTAAATTTAGGAAATGGTAGTTTACCGAGTGTAAGTATAAAAATAGGCTGGGAAAAAAAGAACTGACCAAGAAAAAAACCAGCCCACAAATTAATATTAAACTTTATAGCAAAATTAGTTGTCTGTAATGACATGAAGTTGTCAAGTAAATAAATACAATGTCGAATCATAGGCTCCCTTGGAATTCCTAAAGAATTAATAAATAAAAAAACCATCATTAAACATTATAATAAATTCACATAAGTTTGGATATTGGGTGGCCAGTCCAAATATCTCACATCGAGTAGTGGTTTAGTTGCTCTGGTCATGACATGTCAGCTTTGTATGAAAACGTTACCAGTTGGCCTCTCAGAAGAGTCTCAGTATGATCGCAAAATAATATGTACGACAACAATCGGTATTTGCAAAGCAATGACAATACCCATGCTGTACTCGTATGTACCTAATGTATGTGTAGAATGCCTTTAATTTGGCAAATGATCTAACAGAATCATATAATTACTGCAATAAACGAAAGACAAAAGTAATAATCATTACCTGAGTAATTATCGAAGCAGCCACGGTAGCTATTCGAAACACAAAATTACAACTGCGTTTAACCAAACGACACATACAACTGCCTAAAATTCCCCTTCAGCAAACCATACTTAGTCGAAAAATAATTGATATTGTCGGATCGATATGGATCATTAACTTCCTTCGTATAGCGTTAGGTTTGGAACAGTTATTGTAAATTAGGGCAAAAAAAAAGAAAAAAAAAAAAGACGGGTTCCACGAAAACGAAAGAATGCGTAACCTTTGATTTCTTTCGTGGCGGCCACGTCGTTGTGTTTGATGAATGCCCAGGTGAGGTCAACGAACGAGGAACCAAGAGCACCAATGTTGTGTCCTCCTAATGAAGAGAAATTGATGTATCAGGTTCATAGAAATAAATGAACAGTTTATTTACTATAACTTAGCTATTCTGATATAGCAACAAAAAAGATTAGATGGTTAGCGTTCAAATGAATACAAGGTCGCTCGTGAAAACCAGCTATTTAAATCTATTTAAATCTAGCCCGGTAGAAATAGCGAGACGGACCTTATTTTCTGGACGAGACGACCTCGACTAGCGTACCCTTTTAAACGAATAGTAAACCTGTATTTCTGTCACGTGCATGGATTTAAACACAACGTAACGAAACTTTTAGGTCCCAAGAGATCGTGGCGACCGCACTCGCTTTCCGCAATACGCTTTTGTAATCGCTGGTTATCGCCAGGCATATATTTGTTCAAGTTCACTATGAAGCGGCAATATCCTGAACGAAATACAAATTGGAAAAAAAACTTTTTTAATTCTAAAGAGAAGAAATGGTTAAATCTGTCTAAAAGGCCATATTTGAAGGAGATAAGGGCGATGGAATTGAGGCAAGTCCCAGGTAATGTACTGCGCATTCTGGTTTATATGCCTACCACTGATCACGAGGAGGTAAAAAAGATTTATGGAAGAATTAAAAGCATTCTGAGCGACGAAGGGCAATTGCAGGATTTTGTTGGAGGTTTGGAATGCTGTAGTAGAGGAAGGCAGCATTGACGAAGAGATGGGACAGTTTGGAGCAGGGATAAACAACGAGAGAGGGGAGGGGGGGGTGTTTGATTGCTTGCAACACGTCGTTTAAACAACATAAAAGAAGGCTAAGCATCGGGTGGTGTACCGCAGGCAGATAGAGTTTATACTGGCAGAAAGGTTAAAAGGTATGGATACAATAATAGAAATTCGATACAGAAGAAACGAAGAAACATTGAAATAAGAAAGTATTGAGTAGCGGTAGAAATAGGAAATAGAAAGAAACTAAAGTAGGATATGGGAGGCACTGAAGAAAAGAATAGAAGAAAGCCTTGGATAACACCAGAATTCATAGAAAAAATGGAGGAAATATAAGCAGAGCACTGAGGAAGGAGGGAAATCATATAGAAGGGTAAAGGATGAGCTGAAAATGGAAACTAATAAGGCAAGGGAGAAATAGCTGGAAGGCGAATGTAAAGAAATGGCTTGAAAAGTCAGACACTATTATAATGGGCAGTAAAGAATAGAAGATAAGTCTAAAGGAGGTTGCAGGCAGGAAATTGGGGATGTTAATGGCGTATTTTAAAAAGACTTAGATAAGGTGCAATTGAGATTGAAGGAATACA